GGGGGGGGGGGGGGGGGGAAAGGGTGATGATTTACAGTGGAGTGAGCCACTTTTCTCTGGTCTAAGCAGCAAGAAAATTTTATGAGCATGTCTTTCACTGGTGAATTTTCTATAGATCAAATGAATGGTAACCAGATAAGGTTTTAAATTGTAGTTAATAGCCCACAGCACATGTTTGTCATTGCACTTTTCTTAAAAAGGTACATGTGTTGGTGTTAGAGAACGATGGGATTGCTCTGAGCCTTTGTGACATTGTTGTCTGTTTTACAGTGTGAAATACATTTCCTGCTCCCTGCTCATCCTTCATGCTGAGGATGATCCAGTGGTACCATTTCACCTGGGAAAAAAGGTACACACGTGGCTCTGCAAACTGATCTGATGGGAGGAACTGGTGTGGATAGAACGTCTCAGCCAGGCAAGAAGTCAGTAACAGAAAGGTGTAAAATGCATAGCCCAGAGGGACTGCAGATTCTGTAGTGTTGGAGGTGGCAAATCAGTAGTGAAATGAGGCTGAAGCCACCAAAGCTGCTCAAGCCAGGGCCTCTCACCCATGCCTGAGGGGGCTGCGGGTTTGGCAGGGGTAGCTGGGTTGGATTAACACGAGTCCCTCACTTGCCTCCCCTTGGGTTCAGCTTTACAACATCGCGGCGACGTCACGGAGTTTCCGGGACTACAAGGTGCAGTTTGTGCCCTTCCACACAGACCTCGGCTACCGGCACAAGTACATCTACAGGAGTCCAGAGCTACCTCGGGGCACCCTTTGCTCTCCACAGCGGGGGAGATACCGGGGCTGGCTTAGCACGGGAGTCAGAGCTCTCCACCTCCTTGCAAAGCAGGTTTTGGGAAGGGAAGCCACAGAAATCTGGGAGCACTTTCTGGCTCATCTCTGCTGTGAGCTGCATGCTCTAGAGGAGCTGTTTGCAGAGCAGTTCCTTTCGTTTGGCTCTTCCAGTGGGAGCCTCTGATGGGTGTGAGAGCAAAGCTCAGTGCTGTTCCTTGTAGCTGCAAATGCTTGAGACAGTATTTGCCAGGGGCATGGGAAGGCCTGCAGGCTGTAGCTAGCACCAGAGTATAGGAGAGCCAAGTGTCACTGCTTTGTCATTTCCTTTTCTAGGGAATTCCTGGGAAAATCTGAACATGAGCATCATCACTGAAGACTGTCTGCTTGTCAGCACAGAGATTTTCATTTCCTTCCTCTCTCTCCTTTTCCTCCCTGCTCCCTGTGGGTCAGTCTGCCGTTCTTCCATCCCTGGCACTAGAGCAGGTCAGGGATTCCCATTCCAGCCCTGATGTGTACCCTTGGCAACTCCAGCTTCTGGCATCAGCATCTGTGACAGCAGAAGGAAGAAGCTGTTGGCTCCTTTTTGGACTTAGACGGAGGGGTGGTAACAGCCCAGAAGCCAGTACCAAACGGTGAAAAATGTAAGCGCAGCAAAGCCTCACCCATCCCTCATGGTACTGCTGAGGACAGATGTTCCTAGGACTCTGTGTCATGACCAAGGATGTTTCTTTCACTTTTAAACACTGCTGCTGTTTTTGGATCATGTAGAGATACATTTGTAGACAAATGGCTTTTGCCATGTCTCCTTACTGCAGTTGTCTTGCTTGAGTTTGAGGTGTTCTTTCTAGAAAATACATGTTTTGCCTTTCCTTTTCAATCAGTGGCTGTAATTACAAATACATGGAGGATCCAGGTAGTGAGAGGTATTTTTATTCAGCTCTTTAGTCACAATGTGCTGCAAGTGTTGGGGTAATTGCACACATTTGGAAATAAAATGAAAGATTTTTTTTTTTGTTCTTCCTTTTGAAACATCTCTTTAGTGGGAAAGGCTAGTGCCCTTTTATCTTTCCTGTACTTTTTTCCTTCTGAACAACATTTTTTGCTCCCATTCCTGCTATCCTCTGTGGACCTCCTCCCCTTCACAAGTACTTCCTATTAGGATTGGAATGACACATGTATATAAACTGCAGATTTGGGTGTTTAAGCCAGAAAGTGTGAGATTACTTTTTTGCTTGATCTCCTCTTCTGGCTGCTGGAATGGATGTCTTCCATTACCCCTGCACACACCCAGCCAGCCATGTGCTGCTTTTTGGTGAGAAGGGCAAGGGTTTTCTTTCCTTAACTACTTTTAACTCCTTGGGTCAGGTTTTCCTGTTCCTGGTAGCCGTGTTGTTCCACTGTGGTTAAAAGCAGGCAGTGATACAGTTTTTTGATGCAAAAATAAACCTGGGGTGTTACTCCCCATCTCTTCCCCCTGCCTTCTGTGCACTTCCAGTAGCACATCTTAGCCCCTCTGACAGCCATTGTCCAGGAGGAAGTGGAAATGAGCCCTTCCCACAGAGAGAGGTTCTGGGGATGTCCTTTCCCTGCATGGGGCTAGAAGCAGGGCTGGTTTATGCTCCGCATTGAAAGGGGAGTCAGTCACACACTGCCTCACTGGGGTCCTGCCCCATGCCAGTCCATATAGACAGTACCAGGTGCTGTAGATTTAGTCACTAGTGCTCAAAGGGAATTGTGCTGCCCCAACTGGTCAGGGGTGTACAGCATAGTAATAATCTGCTCAGCATGCATCAGAGTTATATCTGAAGGCTCATAGTAGTTGCAAAAGAGACAGTAGCTTGTTGTTTTATCAAGATTCTTCTGCCATTAGTGCGGTTGTCCCTGAGGTTTCTGACCTGATACTCATAAAGTAGCTGTGCCACTTCAGTACAAGTGCATCAACCATAATTTATCGCACTGACAGACAAGAAATGCTTACCTGGCTCTGGAGAGTAACACACACATTCCAGTTAATGCTGCTGCTGGCAGCTGGCTTGGGGCAAAGTGCAGCCTGAGCTGGGGCCTGGCTGCTGCCTTCCTCCTGGTGGGACAGAGCTGGGTGTCCAGCACGAGAACTGCTGCTGTTGCTGGTCCCACCACCACCATTCCTGTTAGCAGGCCAGTGCTACACTTGGAAATTTAAACTGAAATGTTTATCTAAAAGTGGTGTAGTTTTAATAAAGGCATTGACTGCTGATCACTTTAGCTTTACCAGTCTTACCTGGCAGTTTTTGTGACATTTTCCCCACATTGACCAGGTCAGCTGGGTGTGGGGCAGGGCTGCAGTAGGGTTATGTGTGGGAGGTGAGCTTGCAGCTGGGACTGGGCAAATCTTTGGGGCTGCTGCCAACTCTAGGGGAGTGACTTTCCTGGAGCAGAGGGTCTGTGCCTGTAGTACAGCTGCAGCTGAGGCTCTGCTTCTCCCCTGGGAATGGGGGAGATGGGAATTGCCTGTGTGATTTCTAGTTCAGGAGCCCTGTGTGCCATTTGCAGGGCAAACCCAACACTAACCCCCACCCCAGTGTGTACAGTCAGCCTGACATGGGTATGTTGCCTCCCCATGGTGGTGCCAACAGCATGCCAGCTGCAAGGGACTACAAACCACAAAGCCACAGCTGGGGAAGGACAGCAGTGATTCAGGCATTGTGGCCTGAACTTGTTGCAACCTGAACTCGGAGGCATGGAGTAGTCACAAGTCAAACCAGCAGGTGTTCAGGTTGTTTTAATGAGTTGGTGTCAAACAGGGCAGTACTGGTGCACTACACAGCACTATGGGTGTTAAACTGTGACCCCAGCACTGGGAGGGACATGTGGAGCAGTATGACTCTGCTACAGAGGAGTGCCAGGGATGTGATCCACTGTTCACCCCCAGAGCAGCACACAGCTATACCTGTAGAACCAAGAGCCAGCAGGCTCAGCCACCCAGCTGGCAGTGGCAGGTACAGCCCTCCCTATGCAGACACGGAGGCTAAAATCCCTGGAGTAGCTTGGTTATTGGGCCTTTAGTTAGGAAAAAGGTGTGGTAGGAGGCTACAGTAAGCTCTGTGGCAAGGAAGTGGCTGATCTCAGGCTCTCTTGCTTGTGGCACAGTGTTTGACATTGGTGCCTGCCCTGGGGCCAGCTGCTTTCACTGCCAGCCCCCCCTTCTTTAGGTGATACTGGGGCAGGGGATGGGCAGGGATTGGCCTCTCCCAGCTTTGGGCCTGGCAGACCCCTGGAGAAGACACACTCTGTGTTGGTTAATCCTACTTGTGGGGCAGGGTCAAGGAGGCCAGGCCCTTGCACACAGCAAGGAGGGGAGGGTTTACTTGGAAAGCCCTTGTTAAGCACGGAGCAAGCCGTGGAAGACTTATCCATGGTCATCTCACTAAAAGCACTATGCAGCACATGCAGGCTAGGTAGGTGCAAACACAAGGTCCTTTCTCTTGTCCCCCAGCTCTTGTTCCTCATTCAGGGCTCCTCCTCAGAGCATCCTTCTACCTCTCTGAGGGAAAGGCCTTGGTTCTGTAGAGCTGAGCCCATCTGACTGGTGGTGAAATGCAGGTGAGGCCTCCTGCAATGGGAGCATATCCCTCCTTCCTTCCCTTGGTGCTTGCATCAGTTTCGGGGGAGGTTGGGTGGGGGGATTGCTGTGGCAGAAGGCTCCACCCCCCAGATCTCACGGGCATACTCTGTGATGGTTCTATCACTGGAGAACTTGCCCGAGCACGCAATGTTCCTGATGACTTTCCTTGTCCATTCACGAGGATCCTAAGAAGAGGAGAGGCAGTGTCAGTACCCAGTTGTTCACTCAGTTCCATCCTGGCTTGCAGCCTTGTAGGGCACTGGCTGATTTAAAACACCACAGTGTGGGGCTGCTACAGCAGCCAAACCTGCCTCACCGTGCCCCAGGGCACACACATGCTGCAGTATCCATAAGGGCTCCACTGAAGCACACTCATCCCAGTTACCCCGAGCCTTCCCACTCAGCAGTGGGCCTGTCTTACCATGAACAGCTGGTCCACTTGCCCTTGGCACTTAATGTAGGCCTCATAGTCTGCAAACACCTTAAACCTGAAACCCAAAGCAGAGTCTGGCTGGGGTTTGCCTTCTGGGCAGGACAGACATCTTCCCATGAGCAGGCAGGGCTCCCTGCTGCACAGGGATGCTTCCCAGGACTCACCTGTCGTGGTACATGAGCATGTTCACAACATCCTTGAAGCAGCCGGGGTCTCGAGGGGAAAAGAAGCCGCTGCTGATCTGGTCGATGGCCTGGCGCAGCTCAGGCAGGCTCTCGTAGTACTCGCGGGCGTTGTACCTGTGCCCAGCACAGACAGGCTCTAGGCACTGCTGCTCTTCCTGGGGCCCTTGTGTCTGGGGCAGGCAGGGCAGGCAAGGATATGGTACAGCTCCTGAGTGAGGGGACTTGCTCCCAGGGCTGTGTCCACCAGAGCACCCTACTCATAGCTCCAACCAGCAGCTGTGTCTGATACACTTTGTGCCATGTCCCACTCACAGCCACTGTGCTCTGGGTGAGCCGAATCCTTGCAGCCCAAGGCAAAGACTGCCTCTAGTGCCTTGCTTTTTCCTGCTCCAGAGCTGCCCAGAGAGGAAAGTGCCCCTCCCAGAGAACGTGGCTCTCCCCACCAGAGCTGAGCTCTGCATCCCCATCTGACAAGCCCTGGTGTGCACCAACCCTTTCCGATCCAGGGCCTCCACGTCCTCCACTCGCATGCCAAATATGAAGAGATTTTCTTCGCCTGCCTCCTCAGCCATCTCCACATTGGCTCCGTCCATGGTACCAATGGTGAGGGCTCCATTCACCATGAATTTCATGTTGCCAGTACCTGAGGCCTCCGTGCCAGCTGTGGAGATCTGCTGGGAGAGATCCGCTGCTGGGATCACTGCCAGGTGCAAGAGAGGCAGGAGTTAATCCTTGGCACATTGCAGCTCCCCACAACCAGGACTGGCATTTGCCAATGGCCCTTCTGACCTCGCTCTCAGCCCAAACAGCACAACTCTGGAGCCAGGCTCAGCTTTGCCATGACCCCATGCACCTGATGCCAGACCTGCATGAAGCTGGCTTCCTGCCCTTTGTGGAGCCTTCAGGCTCTTGCTAGGGAACAGGCAGATGTCCTGCTACAACAGCCTCTCAGGCCAGCCCGT